GTGCACACTCATTCTAAACGGAGGTAACAAGTGCTTCATTATTTTCATTGATGATTTTAGTATAAAGGCATGAGTATATTTTTTGAAGCATAAATCGGATGCATGTGGAATAATTAAGAATTTTGTGGCATATATTGAAAGATAAAATGTTTACTCTCTTAAAACTTTAAAAACTGATAGAGACACGAAATATATTGTTGGTGATAATTTCTTAAGAAAACATAAAATTAAACATCAATCAACAACTAGATATACTCCTCTACAAAACAGAGTTGTAGAAAAAAAAAAGAACTATTATGGACATGGTGAAAAGCATGATGCATTGTAAGAAGTTATCTAAGAGTTTTTAGGCAGAAGCGGTTACTTGTGTGGTTTATATTTTAAATAGATGTCCTATTAAAAGTGTTTGTGATAAAACATTACAAGAAGTATGGAGCAGATAAAAGCCTAATTTAATAATGAAGGTATTTGGTTGTATCACTTATTCATATATACCAGATGAGTTAAGGAAGAAACTTGATGACAAAGCAGATAAATGCATCTTCATTAGTTACAGCATGGAAACAAATGGCTATAAGCTGCACAATATAAAGACCCAAAAGGTAATCATTAGCCGTGATTTTACTTTTGATGAAGATAGAGAATGAAAATGGTCTGAAGAAGACAAGAAATTACTATAAGTTTTGGTGTTCATAAACAATGAAATAAAAACAAATAATCGCACTGGTGAGTAGTCTTCTCCTCCAATTTCTGAAGAATCATCTAGTGTCGCTCTAGAAGCTTCATCTCCCTCTGTACTAAGACGTTCACAACGATATCGTCGTCCACCTACCTATTTAAAGAATTATAAAGTTAGTAATGATCTCACTGATAATGAAGATGTTGTTCATTATGCTTTTTTTTATAAATTGTGATCCAATAGTATTTGAAGAAGCGTTTAATGATGATCCGTGGATTAAAATGATGGATAAAGAATTTTTTTTTTATTGAGAAGAATAATGCATGGGAATTAACTACTCTACTGAATGGAAAGAAGCCAATTAGAGTCAAATGGGTATACAAAACAAAGTACAAGCCTAACAAAGAAGTGGAATGGTTTAATGCGAGGCTAGTTACAAAAGGACATAAATAAAAGTCAGGTGTTGATTACTTTGAAGTATTTGCTCCTGTTGCTAGATTGGATACTGTACGTATGATTACTTCACTTGTTGCCCAAAATTGTTGGAAAACATATCAAATAGATGTGAAGTCAGCATTTCTAAATAGTATACTCAAAGAAAAAGTATATGTTGAACAACCACCTGTTATGAAAAAAAAGTGAAGAAGATAAAGTTTATCGGTTGAAAAAAGCTTTATATGGGCTTAAACAAACGCCAAAGATATGATACACTCGTATTAACACCTATTTTTTTGATCATGGTTTCCAAAAGTGTCCATACAAACATACTTTATATATCAAGACAAATAAAGATAAAAATATTGTTGTTATCTGTCTTTATATGGATGATTTGATCTTCACCTGTAATAATTCAAGACTTCTGTTAGAATTTAGAGAGGATATGATCGTCCTCTTTAAGATGACAGATATGAGGTTAATGTCTTACCTTCTTAGTATTGAGGTCAATCAAACAGATAAAGACATATTCATTTCTAAAAAAAAAAATACAGGAGATATCTTTAAGAAATTTAAGATGGAAGCTTGCAAACCAATATTAACATTAGTGGAAGAAAGGTTAAAGCTTATGAAAAATGGCAGCGATGATTTGATTGATGCTACAAATTTCAGGAGACTTATTGAAAGCTTGAGGTATTTAATAGCAACTAGACTGACATTGTTTATGGAGTTAGTATTGTGAGCAAATTTATGAAATCACCAAGACAATCTCATTGACAAGCTGCAAAGAGAATATTGAGATATATTAAAGGAACGCTTGATGATGACATTCTCTATTAAACCACTAATAAAATAGAATTAGTTGGGTATACAGATAATGATTAGGCAGGTGATACGGAAAAAAGAAAAAATATTTCAGTTTATGTGTTTAATCTTTGTTTAGATGCATTTTCTTGATCTTCTAAAAAATAACAGGTAGTAGCACTTTCAACAGTAAAAACATAGTATATGGGAGTTGCAAGTTGCACTGCTCAAGCAGTTTAGCTACAAAGGATGCTTAATGAGTTAGAACATCAACAAGATCGTTCAACAACAATCTATTGTGATGATCAATCAACTACTGGCTTAACAAACACATCAACATTAGACATTATTACATTCATGACTTAGTGAAAGATAAAGAGATCGTGGTCGGGTACTGTGCATCTGAAAATCAAATTGTAAATATTTTCACAAAATCACTTAAAGTAGATATATTTATCAAGTTAAAGAAAATGTTGAGATTAGTTAAATCAAGTTTAAGGGAGGATGTTAGACAATTAAACTTGATTTAATTAATATTAGAAATTAAAACTTGTATTAATTTTCAATAAAGAAACAAAGGTGAAGTGACAATAATAAAGAGAGGAAATAAACGACAACAATAAAGAAGGTGAAGGCAAAATGACAACCTTTTACTTGTATAAATAGGTTTAGGCAAAAGAGAAAAAATAAATGTGAGAAAAGAAAAATATTTAGAACGTGAAGTGATAAAAAATTAAATGAGAATTATTAGGTTCAACAAGGTAATACATAACGGGTTTGGGGTGTGAAATTTTGTCTTGTGAGTGTTGTAAAATTTATATTCTTTTTATCAATAAAATATTAATATTTTTTAATTTATAAATTTATTATCTAGACAATTATAACAAAATTAAATTAGCATCAGGTATTATAATATGTTATCTTGCTTATGGTTAAGACTAGGGCCTAAGAATAGACTTTTGGGGGGTATTGGGAAACACCCCTCATCGTTTATAACTTCTTTCTTCTGTAATTTACTCTTTTCACAATAGCTTTGGTTAGGGAAGCCCTTTTGTTTGTATTTTTTGGAGCATTTCCTGAGCTACCTCTCCCTTATACAATTGTTGCTTATTCATATTTTTCTAATTATCATCTTTTTGTACAAATGATACGAAGGAAATAAAGAAATCTCGAAAAAGAACGGAAAGGTAAAGGAAAGGAAGAAGAAAGAAAAGGAAAAAGAGAAGGAAGAAAAAGGTGGGATAAAGAGGAAACGAAAATAAAAGAAAAGGAGATTTGGGCTATGGCTTTGTTTAGAAAGTGGATTTTGGTTTCGTTTGATTTTCAAATTAAAAGTAAAACCCAAAACATCAAAAAAAAAAAAAAAAACCGAGTAAAAAGCCCACATAAGCCCAACTTGACAAAGCCAATGAATAAATGCAAACGACGTCGTTTTAATTATCAGTAAAAGTACGTCCTTTTTATAACCACTAAAATAATGCCATTTTCGTTAAAACTTAAACGATGCGGTTTTAATAATAACAAAAACGACATACACTGTTGTACTAATCGCCAAAAACGTTGTCGTTTCGTAGTCGCAAATACGTCACTACTTTTGTAATCAGAAAAACGTCACTGCACTGCTTTTGCAATCGACAAGAGGGTGCCGTTTTTTGTACTCATTAAAGCAGCGCCGTTTTCATGATCACAACAATGACGCCGTTTTTGTTACTTACCGCTAAAATGACGCTATTTTTCGAATCTATAAAACGATGCCGTTTTGTTGTCCTGAAAACGACGCAGTTTTCGTAATCATTGTGAATAAAGGATATTTGGGTTTATGAAAGTTTTTTTTTTTTTTTTTTTAAATGTTGTCTCTAGTAATTAGTATCTTTTGTTGAAATGGTGGTGGTTTTGAATTCTTGAAAATGAGATATGCAGGACTGATCCGAAAACATATGTCGTGATTGATCTTTTTTTGGCTGTTATTTGGTGCATTGTTGGCTGTGGGAAAATCTTCAGCGTTTAGTGGATTAAAAATGGGGGAAGGGGCTGTTTCTATTGGTTTTGCTCAAGTATTATTTCTGCATCAACTGCTTCGTGATACTCTTTTTTGAGGATTAAAACGGGCTGTCTGGATCTGTTTTGCTCTTTTAACTTGTCTGTGCTCCTCAAGCCTTTTCAAGTAAGTCTTGAGGAGATTTCAAATCTGATTTCCAGGCTTGCCCTTTTTTTTCAACTTCATTCTTCAACCTGGCCGTGTTTCTCTTTTGATTGTTTAGTGTAACACCCAGCAACTCAGCTCGTTTGTTTCAAAAAAATAAAATAAAATAAAAAGAGCTGGACACCAGAAGCGCAAAAACGAAGTCGTTTTGAGAAACCACAAACCGACGCCGTTTTGATGAAATAAAAATAATTTTACGGTGAGGATTTCTTCTTCAAATTCGACGGCCCAGATTTAATTTAGATTGCTATAAATAAGAAAGGTGATCACGAAAAATAGAAAGAAAGGAAGAAGCTCGAAGAGAGAGAGAGAGAGAGAGAGAGAGGGAGAGGAAGCCGTCGGCGGAAGGAGAGAGTGGCAGAGAGGAAGAGTAGAGAGGAAAACAAAACTGCGAAGCGTGGCCGACGGAAGAAGAAATAGGAGGGTGATAACCGTGAAGGCTAGGCTGAAAGATAGCTGAATCGTCCAACGGAAGGTAAGATCAATTTGCTCTTGAAACCCGAATTCGAAATAGTATAAAGAAATTTCCTA